TTTAATTTAACAGTTTGCTAATTTTGGGATTTTGCATAATAATTAGCTGACGTTTTGTGTGAAAATTTTTCATAAATATAAGAGAGCRACCTTTTCTTGTGGCTACATAAGAAAAGGAAACTCTTATGAGTTTCCTGTCATAAATAAGAACCTTTTTTTATTTTAAGAAATGATCTTATCTAGCTTTGAATTTATTTTGACACTTGAGAAAATAATTCAATTATTGGACGAAGGCCAAGTAAAAGGGCCATATTGTAATATTCTAAGGTCATTTTTAGTAAAAAAATATTGTGATTTAAACATCCAATAATTCTGTTTTATGCAAACCTAACATACAACCCTTTGTTCACATGGGTTATATCACACGTGTCCTGGATTTTCCTCAGCTTCCTCTCTCAGGATGCTTTGCTCTCGCWGGTGATAAAGTAAAGAAGCCTTCAGCAGAAATAACACTGCACCACCTGAGCCCTCATCAGTGGCGCTGCACTGCACAGATCCCATCAGCGCGCCTCACTAAGACAAATTTCCCTTAGACGGCCATATTTTCTGCATATGAGAGATGCGAGCCAACGAGAGCAGAGACCCAGGAGGGTCCACCATCACTGCYCCCAAAGCTAACTTCCCTCCACTTGACAGATTGGCTTCTCCATCCAGGAAAACTCAAGTGGTGAAGGGGGAAAGATGTCGGCGTGTCGCTGAGTTTCTGCATTTTTGTGTGTTTTTTTTCCAGCAACTCAGCTCACTTAGTTCTTTTCTGGAGATCTCACTGAAAGTGAGTCGTGTTAACAGAGTCGCTGATGGGCCAAGAGTGGTCGAATTTTCCATTTATAGTATTTTGTTTCCTGTGGTAATCTCTGTATTCTCGGCCAAGATATAAATGGACGAAATGGCAAAGAAAGGATAGGTGAGGGAAGTTTAAAGACGTGCGAGTAAGCTGCTGATGTTGCTGTAGAGTCAGGTTCTCCACTTTTCTGTTTTTTTTTTCAACTTTTCTTCCAATTCTTTTCATGTCATCTCTTTTCCAGTTCTGTTCAAATCTATCATTCCACTTCCCTGTTATCTTTTTCATTAGCCCTCTGGCTCACCTCTTTTCACCTCTTTTTCTCCCCTTTCAGCTCCGCTATGATTAATAGGTATAGTTATCAAATCAATAGAGCATTTGTAGAAACCCCACACTGAATAGATTAAGTGTTCTTTGTGCCACCAGCTCACTTCAGGTGACCAGAAGGAGTTATTATGTTTTAGAACACTTTAGTTTGAATTTCAAATTGCTGTGTTCATATCTAAAGTACCTTAGTCAGCACACAAAACCAGGCACTTACGGCCTAAATATACTCATATTTTTTTTTATTTAACATGTATGTGTGCTTCTGACACAAATTTGTGTGTGTGTGCTCTTTTTAAACAGCTGGTCCTATCCCCCTAAAACTATTTTCCTCAGCTTTTCTGTCTCCTGCACATCTGTTTGCGTGCGTTACTTGATGTGTGAGTTGGAGTGTCGGTACACCTGCACAGGTGTGGAAACAGTTTTGCAAAAGGAAGCATCAGCAGAAAAGGTGATATCACTGAAAAGGTTAAGTGTGCACTGCGAGACGAGAGAAATCAGGTGACTCGAACATTTCGGCATCCTGGATTAGTTTCTAAGTGAGCAGCTCTCGGGACACCTTTTTGAAAGGCCGGAGCTGTGAACAGACCTTGCAGCGACTCCAGATGCTGCAGAACACAGCCACAGGAGCAGACTGGCTGTCACAGCCGGCTGGTATGCAACTCACATCTTGCTTCACCCTGAGCCTGAACAGGATCTCAGCTATGGCTTGGCAGTACCTCAGCCTCTCTCCTCTCATCAGTGTAACTTGGCCACCCCTGTCAGGCTGGGAGAGAGGAGAAGGAAAAACAGCAGAAGAGAGAGAGACATCAGCTGCAGTCATACTTGAAGGTGGTGGGGATAAAACTACACCCTTTGTTGCCCATTAAGGCAGTTGATTTGGAGAATTTAGGGAGTAGTTATTGAGTGGCTTTGACAGGCGCAGGAGATGAAAGAATTCAGAAAGTGTTATTCGAGATCGTAGGAGGTTTTCATTTTTTTAACACTCAAGCAAAAGGATAGGTCACTGTGGTACTTGTTAGTCTGTTTCATAGGTCATACAGTTATGTCAATGACTGAGGTGAGGGAGAAAATATTTGAAAATGTGAGCCATGTAATAACCAGCAGGTTACAACTGTGGCCTGGCCCTTGTATCGGTTAATGCGGGTTGAAATTGAGGTCTTGATCCGTGTCGTTAGATGAAGACACTGTCTGCTCCAAACTGTGGTCCCTTTTAGAGGTCAGGGGGGTTTCTAAATACAGCCACGTCTAGTTTTAAATCCGCTACTGGGTCACTTTGATTGAAGAACTGGGCCAAGTTTGTTTGTTGGCTCCTGGTCTGAAATGTGTAACAGGTCATGTGTTGCTAAGGTTGTTCTTGTAGTGCACGCTCTAACTACCTTGAGGATTTGTGCAGAAGCTTTGGAGTAAATTGCTTGAATCGGTGTTTGTGAAGGCACAGATCACCACCCTGAAATAAACTGCCTGTCCAAAGGAAGTGAAACTTCCAACATTTTGTCATTTTTATTACAGCTACAGCTATTTTAGCATCATGTTGGTGAGTTTATGTAACACCACCACATTTATCTGTTTAGAGTTGCATTCATTTGTTGTGAAGGTTTTCTATTGACAATGAGAGTCAGAGCACTCCTCAAAGCATCTCAAGGGTTTTCAGTAGGGTCAAGGTCTGTAGTCACTGATGTGTGTGAAAGTGTGAACTATTCCTTGACAATTTGAATCTGATAAATGTTACTGGTTGAAGGTTTTGTGAACAAACATTATTAAATGATGAATTATATCATTCTCAGGACATCTTGTTTACCCCACTGGTATAACTAAAACATGTTGCATCCATGACTTCATGTTCCGTCATTCTGAAAAAAACATGGAAACCCGTTCCTGAAACACATCACTTTCTTTTTTTAAAATAAAGTCAAGTCTTCAGCTTCTCCCAAAAATAATTATTTTATCCACAATTATAAACATTGCTATAATTTCTGCTGTGAGTTTTTAATTTTACCAAATGCTGATGTGACCTCAGTTTTGTATAAGTACCATAACATACATGTCGAGTTGGACGGATTGTCTGTAATTTACAGATTTTCCATCATTTTGCAGGTATACGGATGTATACAGCAATCTCCCGGATTTTTTCAAGTTTTACGGATTTTTTCAAAACATCAGTTTCAAATTTATTTAACATGTCAGAGCCTGTAGGACATTAAAAAACAATAAACATCAAATAAMCATCTTCCAACCTGTTCTGCCACTAGAAATAAGTTCTCCACTTCTTCCGTTCTCCTTTCCTCATCTTTGTGGCCAACAGCCACACCCCCCCCCCCCCCCCCCCCCCCCCCCGGGTGTGAGTAGTATGGACTTTTAGCAAAAATTACAGATTTTTGAGGCTCATTATACAAGTAAATTTCCAAAGGGGTTGACATGTATGCCTCAAAGTGATTAAAAGTACAAGTATCTTATCATAAAATTACTTTGGTAAAGGTGTAAGTCCCCTCTACGAATATTACTTGAGTCTTGAAGTAGCTGATTTTTTTTCTTGTACTTAAGTATCAAAACTATTTTTTACATAAAATTTAAGTGTTAAAAGAAAAGTATTGAGTAAAAATGAGCGGTTAGATTTTCCAAAATGACGTTTATTGGGAGGTGACCTCTCCAAAAAAAAATAAATAAATTTTTTCTAAAGCTGTGCAGCTGTGATGGATTGTGTACAAACTAATATGGTGTCAGAATGGTATAAATTTATACTTCCTATCCAACCACAATTAAATTCACTCAATCCAGGAGGCACAATTTATCCAGATAGTATTTTTAATAAGTCAGAATGAAAAGAGAGTAACTATTTTCTACTTCTTACTTTTTTTAAAAAAATGTAAGGAGTAGAAGTAAAAAGTTGGCTGAAAAATAATTACCAATGTAAAGTACACACGTATATATTTTTTTCTTCTTTTTTTGCGTTGGGCAGCTTTAAACAGTTTTATGAGTGTCGTCAGTGTTTTTAGTTGTTTTGTTTTCTTCATTCTGATGATTCAGAAACATAAACTTTTCTTACTCCATCAGTTAGGGTTAAGTAGCCTACTTTTAGCTGAAATTTAATAATCTCTTTAAGAATTCTCCAAAGGGAGGATTTCAGTTATTTGCTGAGATAAATCCAGGTGATGATTTTTCATTTAGCCTCAGTGTATAATTACATCTCACAGACAACTGAAACTCAACTCTAAATCAGATTCTCAGCTCTTTTGGCGATGGCATATTTACTCTTCTGCTGTGGTAAAGCTGCCCCCAAAGGGTTTTTAAGTCAATATCTCACTGTAAGTGTTTGCTCTCGTGAAGTTATCTTTAGTGGCAGCCAATGATCTCGAGATCAGCAGCTAGCAGTCTTCCTTTTCCTGGCCTAATTAGAGAATAATCAAATAACAAGGCTTTCTTTTCCCATGCACACATCATGTTAACGCAGTGTTATGGTTCCTCTGCCGGCACAGCTGTTAATATGTGTGCTGCCTCTTAGCCGTGTCTGTCTTTACTACATGTTCATTTCGCCAAGCTGATAGAATAGTGTGCATAATCACACATCTAAGTGTAATTTTCCACCGTAAAGACAAAACATTAATCACTTCTGCTTGAGGTGGTAATGAGTGAGGGTGTTATAGCTGATGCGTATATGTATCTTGTAATAAGTCTGTGTTTTCACATCTTCRTACATCTGACAACATGTCTGCAGCAGTTGATCAAGACCTTTGGTCTCATTTACCTGAGATGAGAAAGCTTTTCATTGATTTCTAAGAAGCATTGTTACCTGTGGAGGTCTTAGCTTGTCTGTTCTTTGTTTGTTTGTTTGTTTTCCACTTTAGCACCTGTATGCTGGAAACAAGCATTATTTACACCATTCTTCTTTCCTCAGGCTATCCTAATGAGCCTGCAGCAGATGTTGCTCTGAACACCGTAAAGAAGTGGATTGAAGAAAACCCAGATAAGGTACGATGCACCGACACCAAACAAGACGTAGAATTGTGCCAGTCACCTGTCTGTTCGGGAAGGAATTGTCAGTTTTGCACTTCAGTTAATTGCCTTTAAGTGAAAATGACTGGACCTGAGCTGAAAAACTGAACCTTAATTGTCAGGCATTTCTGTATCAGACAGATCTCTTGTTCACCTGGGTTGCTTGATCAGCAAATTGAGATCTGMTGCAATTTAAATTGAAAGGAAGCCTGAGACTAATCAGGCTTTAATGAGCCGACCTGTTGACTGTTTACTTGCTGGAGAGTGCTATTAAACCTAGAAAAATAAATCATAACAGCTAAACAAACCTCAGCCTGGCTTCATTTCTTACTTAAGACACTTTATTTATGCTGAGGATTCAAGGCTGGAGTCAGCAGAAAACGATGAAAATGATACAAGCAAGTAAAAAGCATAATTTGATCATCTTTAGTTTTAGCTTTAGATCACGTGTCAAACTCAAGGCCACATTTGGCGTGCGGGTGACTCCCGTCTGGCC